AATTGAGGAATACCTGGCATACTGAATGATGAAATTAATTTCTTGCAAAGATATAGAAAATGAAAACTCAGTCGGGTCTATTTAGACCCATGTTGTGCATCAAAGGGTCAAGCACAAATAAAAGCCTGACAACGCTAAATGTTCAGTTTTCTGATAATAATTCACATATTAAAGTGTGGCAATAAATTAAATCTAATAATTATATTAATAATTATAAAAAACCAACAGAGCTGCGCTTGATGCACTTTGGCCTAATTATTTTATGGTTTGTAAGGAAAGGACCGGGAGGAAATAATAATGACAAGACTGAGAGTAGATCATACAGGTCTGAATAGCACCTTGTTTTTATTGTGGAAAAGGAATAGTGAAAAGAGAAAACTGTGGGATGAAAGAAAATGTTGAACTTGTTGCATTAGTATATTATTTGCGTTGGAAAGACAGATATTTCATGATTTCTACAGGAGGCAGGGCAAATGGATCTGATGGGGTTATTGGGGACAGAAGGAGAAGGAACGGGGATAACCAGAAAGGCATTATTTACATTTCTTAAAAACAATGGGTTGGTGAACAGAATATGAGTGTATCTTAATAGGGTTTATATTTGAGTGATGTGATGTTACTCACTCCAGTGCAGTAAGTGGCGTTATGCACTTTAAGTTGTTTGCAATCCACTATTAACTAAGAGAAGAAGAAAAAAAAGTAACAACTGTTGACATCTGCACCTGTCACTCACTGACTGGATCTGATTTCATCTATGATCCAGAAAACATGAGAATTTGAACGACGCGCACGGACTGACAACAAGCGTTACTGAGTTTAAAATACTGATAAATTCTCTTCTTAGTGGACAAGACTGCAAGTAAGTTTATTACATTCTCCATTACAGTCATTTATTATTATTAGAAACTTTATATTGTATATTAAGCGAGATTTAAATGTAAAGATACAGAAGGCTGTTCTTCTGATACTCCGAACAGAAGAAGAATCTGACAGAAATTACAATCTTTTGAAGTAAAAACACAAAAAGCCAAAGTCAATGAAAACAGAGTTTGCGAGTCCGTCATGCTTTGACCTCGACACACGGTCACGTGGTCACGCGGCGCTCTCATTAGTTCCAAACACAACAGCGCTGTCAATACATTTGAATGTTTTTAAGCAGGATACAGGTATGGTAAACATTGCATCAAAGTGTGTATTGATTATTACGTCGAAGACATTTTAGAGTATCATTTTACTCTGGAGAGTGGTCGATAGATAGGCACATTAATAATGTTTTTCTTGCATTTAACCCTCAGGTATTTCTTAGGGGAAAGCAGGGCGAAAGTACCATTTTTCAGAAAAAAACATAATTTTAAAAGATGATGGTTTATAAGGAGATATATTTCTTTTGTGGTCAGTCACTCACAATGTGGTCTATCAATACCAGGTGATATTGTTTTAAAAATGTAGAACAAGTCAAGTCAAGTCACATTTATTTATATAGCGCTTTTCACAATACAGATGTATCAAAGCAGCTTCACACTGATAACATGAAAGTAGCACAACATAGATCAACAACATTGCTAAACACTAAATAACCCCAACTGAGCAAGCTCAAAGCAAGCCAAAAGCAAGGCGACAGTGGCAAGGAACCAAACTCCATCAGATTGGATGGAGAAAAAACCTTGGGAGAACCCAGGCTCAGTCGGGGGCCAGTTCTCCTCTGGCTTACATTCATATTGTTTAAATATAAATATTATATATAAATATTGTTTATGAAACAAACGGCGCCATAACATATCGCAGGCATTGAGTCGTCTTTTCACAGGCGTTGAGTCGTCTCATCACAGCCGTTGGGGCATCCGAAATCCCCGTGAGAGGCTGGAGACAAAACTGGACCTGACGAACGCCATTTTTCTCGGGACAAGCGTCCCGAGATAACAGCAGAAAGGCAGATGGGAAATAATTAGCATAGCTGATGTTCATAATGATTTCCGTTATAACTCACAAACTCTCCGTAACCTGAACTCTCCGCAACCCAACCATACGCGCCGACCCGTTTGTCTAAAAGGCTGTAAAAGGATCTAAAAGAACAACTTCAGTATAATTTCACTTTGAACTTCAGACTGAATGTTACCTCGACCCCGTCAGTTGGGACCAAAGTAACACACAGGTGGGCCAAAAGTAATACAATATACAATCTAGATTTATTGTTACACTTGTTTTTTTTTAGTTTTTTTTTTTTTTAGCCTAAATATACCTGAGTATGACCTTGTGAAACATATTTTGGCCTTTATCTTTGCAAAAAATTGTTAATTTACATTACATAAATTTCAGTTTCATCAAACGTTTCAAAAGTAACCCAAAAGCTGCTGCCCTTCATCTGCATGCCATGCAGGCTAGAATTGCAAAACATTATTGATAATAATTCTTATAATTGACATTTCTTTGGGAAAGAATTTGCGGAGAATACATGCTATAAAAATAAATAAAACTCTAGATAGCGATAAATTTCGCTCTATTCGCGTTTGATGTGAACACAGCATTATGAGCAGGCTGCGATGTCAAGATTGCAATGCTGGAATGTGTGTGTGTGTGTGTGTGTGTGTGTGTGTGGGTGTGTGTGTGTGTGTGTGTGTGTGTGTGTGTGTGTGTCGCGTCGTGTCGTGCTAGAGAGGTGCGCAAAAGAGAGGCACGGGCGCGATCGAACATTGTGTGTGTGTAAGAGAGAGACAGTGGACACATACAAACATACTCCGTCCTTTTGTTCATACAGGACATCATTCAGTCTGCAAAGTGTTTACTTATATTTGTGTACTCGCAATAAAACACAACATGCTTTTGTCACACTGTAAACTCTTGTCAAACTGTAACCTACAACTGACACACACACTCACACACACGCACTGTTTTAAAAGCAAAACATATTTATCCAACCCCTTTTTTAAAACAGTCAGTGTGTTTCATCTTTTGGACATTCATCATATCGCATTGGTTTTCATTTCTTGTCCTCAAAACAGAGCACTAATCTGTTTATTTTTAAGTTACACATAAAAATAACATCAAATGTGTTGGTAGTATTATTATTTTATACGGATATCATTTATTTATAATTCTGATGAGAATAAAGTTAGGGTTAATTAAAATTAAGGCAAACAAATATATTGATCTGAAATATAGCAAATAAATGTTAAATTCATTCCGGTACCAGACCATCTCAATGTCTCTTTTTTAATCTTTTTATTAATTTAATTAATAAACTAATTATATAAAACTATTATCAGTGCACTATAAATAAACTTATTTAAACATAAGGCTTAAGACATTTATAAAAATGCCTTCTATATTTCTGTTTTGCTTTTCACTCCATTGTACCGAAATCGTACCGAACCGTGACGTCTGTAAATCAACGTCCATTCCACCCCTAGTATTGTCGTCTCGTCACACTATGAATTACGTTAAGCTACTGTATGGGAAAAGTGGGACCGGCAGAACCGGAGATCACTGAATGGTTTTCTAAACGGTAAAAGAACAATTGTTTTACTCGAGGTGGAAAATGAGCTTAATTCCCCAAATAGTGGAATATCCCTGTAACGTTAGCTAGGCTTATCGTTAGCCGGTGCTCTGGCCTGACGTCATGATACAGTGCATGTGTAAGATACAAACGTCCGGGTTGGCACACAAAGATTTTTGGTAAGAATGCTGTTTTTTGTTAAGACACGCTCAGAAATGTTTCATTTGCATATTAAAATAACAAAAAAATAAATTAATTAAAAAAAATTGAGCAGGGCCACGACCACAAGTGTTTCCAGCACAGTGTACATTTCTGTTCCCCAATGAATTCATATTTAGATTCTCATTTAGTCGAATTTAGTCGACTCATTAAACAATCAGAAATGATTAAGACCATTCGGTTATTTTCCATGGCAATATATTTGTTTGTAACTCACTTTATTTGATAGATTGTTTTTGCTGTTGTTGATGATAAGTCTTTATTCTTCAATAAGATGTTGTTGATGTGTGTAAATGTTGTGATTTGCAGGTGATGCTGAAGGATTGAGTGTTTTCTGATCAGTTTTCAGGGTCAGTTTAGCTGCAGTATGTCAGAGGAAAGAGGAAAGGACTCTCTCTCTCAGATGAGTCTCTCAGAGAAACACAGGTGAGACTGCGTCTGTTTTCACACTCTCACTTTAAACTCCACTGGACTTTGTGTTTCCCTGTCAATAACACAACTTTAAGCATTGCGCTGTATTTGCAAATGCTTTGCACAACTTCAATTTATCTTCTTAAATTAACTGTTCCATTGTCTATAAAGCTCTGTTTGCTCTATAGAAAATATCACAGTGAATAATTTTTTAATAACCTTCTAGACACTGAATTAATCCAAATAAATGACTTGAGTTTGTAAATCATAAAATTATAGATAGGCTTTAGAAAACGACTATTTAATTCAAGTATGCTAACAAAACCATTTCTGCTCTCTATTTCTGTCAATAAATCTCACTCATGTATATTAAAGAAATTGTTAAACTAACGTGAGCCAGTAAATAAAATGATGGTTAAGTATAAAATTGTAAATTGTGTGTGTATGTGTGTTTCTGTGGAGGATTAGATAAAGACACAGATGTGTTTCAGACCAACCCGGTCTCACCCCAAGACGTCATATAACTGACGTTTTGGGACGTCTTTTGACCATACGTCAATATTCGCCTTTTTAGGGCCCCCTTAAACGTCGGTAGATGAGGTTATGGGATCCTAACTCTACCCCATACCTAAACCTAACCCTAAACCTAGCCCGTCACCTAACTGACGTTAAAGGTAAAGCGTCAGTTGTATGACGGCCCGGGATCGCCATCTACCGACGTTTAAGGGGGCCCTAAAAAGGCTGATATTGACGTATGGTCAAAATACGTCCCAAAACGTCAGTTATATGACTTTTTGGGATGAGACTGTGTTATTCAGACACAGTTGATCCTCCTTTACTAAAGTGTTTTCTCTCTCTCTGTTCTTTGTGTCATCAGTGTAAGATCAGGCTCACATGTGTCCAGCTCTGTGTCTCTGAAGAGTGATTGCTCTAAAGGTGGAGTACCACCAGACTTCAGTGAGAAAACACCATCATCTAATAAAAGGTATTTTGTGTCATGTCATCTTTATTTATATAGCGCTTTTTTCAAAACAGATTTTATCAAAGCAGCTTCACAGTGATAAGATGACAAAAATACAACAAAGTTTATTTCTAAAATGCATCAACGTCCACCTTTAATAAGGCAGATCAATAATATTGTTGAACATTAAATGTCCCCAACTAAACAAGCCAAAAGCCAACTGTGACGAGGAACCCAAACTAAGGGACAGAATGGAGAAATAAACCTTGGGAGAAACCAGACTCAGTCGAGGGCCAGTTTATGGATGTAAAATAATGTCAAATGTTTTTGAAACAAAAAGCCTGTGAATTGCACTACTTGAAAAAAAAAAGCATTGTATTAACCATGCTTGCATTTTAATGCATTGCATTTTTAGGGCTTGTATTTTTATGGGCTGAAATTCAACATGGTTGAATATTTAAACTGTAAATATTTCTATTAAAAAATTTTCAAACACATTTTCATTATAAAAAACTCAATAATCTATATTCACCTTTCATATTTCACTTCCAAAATATTCAAACCGTTTAAATAAACAACCTATAATATTCAACAGACAATTTTCGGTCCATGTTATTTCACTATGGAAATTCGCTTCCACAAATTCAGTGGTTCAAATTCAACAGTAAATTCAATGGTGACACCCAGGAACTGCAGGAAAAGCATAGATTACCGAGCATACTCTCCATCTGCTGTTAGTCGACCTCACCAGCAGGGGGTGCAAGCGTGTGTTGTTGACGAAGACCAGAGTAACAGTTAGAGCAACACATTCATTCATAAAAACTCATTTACAGTAATTGAGCATGTACAAAGTTTTTGTGATGATTATCTGGGTCAGTATATATGTGGAAAAGATGATAAAGACACAAAAGCTTTATTTTGTTTAATACAATAACTTTATTGTTACTTTCCCTGTGTAGCCTACATTATTAGCTTTCTCTACCATGAACTTGTCACGTCTAGTCTAGTCTCGCGTAGCCAGACCTTCAGACTGACGGCTGAAGGTCTGGAATTCATAGCAGCTTTCTTTGGTCAAGGCCCGCCCATAAGGCCGTTAGACCGACATGTCAAACAACCAATTACAGTTCGTTTCGTTCAGCGTCATGTTTCGGGGCATGGAAATGTACCCACAACAACAGACCGGTGTGCAACAAGTCAGTCAGCAGTCACCGGAGGCGCTAACAACGCTCCGTGTTATTAAATTCACCCACGAACTCGCTCATGTCCATCTTATGTCCGCTTTGTCACACGAATGTAAGTTACGTCCCCGCCCCAGTGCGCTCACGCCTACTAAATAAACGCCTCACCTCCGGCGCCGCGCACTCGCTACATTCCCTTTAGCCTTTAGCACATCTAGTGGATGCATAACGCAAACCCAGTCAAACGTTTGACTCTGCAGTATCTTATGTGCCTTATAATCCAGTGTGCGCGACCTATATATGAATACTGAATCGGCCAGCTGCGATGTCAGCGTCTGTTTCATGTTTGTCCACAAACGCAGCTGATATACCCTTCGCAATTAAGTACTTCACTTGATCTTCCATAATAGATTGGAGGGGACATACAACTACGTTTAGCTGATCTTGAGAAATGCTCATTGTCACTCACATAGGCCACTCATATAAACACAACAGTTTTTCTTCCGCAATCACACATCTGCGCTTTGTTTCCCGGCGGACCGAAAATAAACGCGACACTGACGCCCCCCGGAAATCCGATAAAATTCAACCAATCAGATGACGACTTCGACATTCCTGAAGTGTTTCCAGTTAAGTGTACCATATGCATCAGACGTTTAGCCAACGTTCCGTGGGCGTGACGTCTGAGGCTGAGACTACGTCTAGTCTGTCTTGTACTTTGAGAGACTCTCTCAGCACTGCTCTCCAAACTAAGAAATTATGGATTTGATCAACTGGTCTCTCAACGCAATCTCGACGAGAAGCTTGGGTTCAGGGGAACCAGACTGCCCTGCCGGAACGTTCACAGGTGGCTACACGATGGACGCGTGGGAGAGGTGGCGGGTCGTGTGTCTGGCGGCTCTTTCCGTGGAGGACGTTGAAGATATCTACCTATTCAGAACCATGATAACAGGTCTTCTGCTGATTGGATTAGGCATTGCCCTGGTTTATCGAGGAATTAAAAAGACGGTGACAGCTGTCCAAAGCCTCACAAGGCTGCCCGTCATGATTGAAGCACTGGGACTGTGTTTATGAACCAGAATATGGATAACATCATGGAGAAGCTTACAGCTTTGCAGAAGGATTTGGATCGTTTCAGAGACCAGAGACTATGAGAATTAGCCGTGTAAATTGAATGCGGCTTTTCGCCCCAAACCCAAACAATCCCAATCTTATCTGTTTTCGGCCGCCCTCAACCAGCACTGGCCTTGGCCAAGGCCGCTGTTGGGACAACAACTCCCCCGGAAGAGCACTGCAGTGAGCCGCTCTCGCGTTCCTTCCCCGACTTCGCCGCTTTGTACCCCCGAGTCTGACAGGCGGGTCTGTGACCAGCGCCGAGAATGGCTTCAGGAACCGGATGGTTGCTTGCCTGTGCTAGGCTACCTCCATCCCCCACTCCCTAACCCTGTTGCAAGTTTTGTTCATGTTGTAGAATGTACTGATTGTGCTAATGTTGCTGAGGTGTTTTTTTTCCTGTTCCCACAGGAGCATAGTCTGGGGGTTGCCTTTTTCTCCTCACCTCTCCTCATGTCATGCTGTATTTTCCCCACAATTCCCTGTCTTCCTGTCCTGTCTACCCCCTTGTCATATCGTATATATGTTTGCAGACATCCCAACCTGCAAGAATTCATTTCCGGGAGGTATATTTCGGTAACCGGATCTTGGGTGAGAGGGAGGGCTAACTTTCGCGTCTGCGAGGCACACTCGGTCTCTCCCTCTGTACAGTGCACGCGCAGCGCGCTATGTATGTTATGCGCGCAGTATGTCTCGCTCTAGATTTAGGGAGATTTTACCTAATTTGCGGGCATCAGGGAGACGCTATCAATATGCGGGAGACTCCCGGAACTTCCGGGAGACTTGGGATGTCTGTGTTTGTATGGGCAGGTTGATGGCCAATTTCGCTGGAATATTGTTTCACTTGCATATTGTTGTCCAATTGCTAGTTAACTGTAAGTCGCTTTGGGTAAATGTAAATGTAAAATTGGCTTGACATTAGACTGGTATCAAACTTCAATAGAAAACTTCAATTTATTTGAATAAAAATCAAAAATCTGAAAGGTGCACATTATCGCGATACACTGCACATGTAGCAAATGATTGTCTAGGTAAGAAGTGAGCGCCACCCCCTGTTTTCCAGTTTTGTAGGTAGTTTAACTAGGGTGCCGGATCAGGGCCGTCGCCAGAACAAATCAAATGAGGGGACATTTAATTTTCAAAGGAGGGCAAACTTTTTTTAACCAAACAACAACCCATATTAGGCTACAACTAAACTAGACCACAATAGTCTTTTGTTCATATTATTCAAATAAAATACTTCACTGTATGATCTCAACGTCTCTGTTTATTATCTCTTAACATTTCCACATTTGGCTAATTGCCTATAATTTTTGTTAATCTGCATTGTTCGTCACATACACAACACAGTGCCATCTAGTGGCTTTCTTGAGTAAAAGGCACAATCAACGTAATGTATATTTCATTTATTTATTTATTTTTTTTTAGAGAAAACGGGGACAGCGTACAGTAAACATTAACCTCAAAGGTAGAGATGCATAGTACCAGGTTTTAGCTCAAGAGCTAATTACATAAATAATTAAATTTACATTGACCAAATAAATAATAAAAAAATTCAGATCTTCACATGCACAAACATCGATCACATGTGAGTACAAATTTGATTTGATTTATGACTCTACACTTCATAAACACGAATTACAAAAACTATAAATATGAAATATAAAATAAAATATAAAAATATACTGAAATATAAAATTAGCAATGTAGCTGACAAATTCTCCATTCCTACAATCTCATTATCTCCAGAGTCGTCTCCACACACGCTGTTGTTGGTCAAAGTTGTCTTTGTCAACGACGAATCTTTAATCCACTTTCTTATCTCTATAGCTTTGCTGTAGGTCTATAAAACCGCCAGAATTTGATTCTCAGCTGCGCAAAGGAATTACGTATAAACAATACTGTATGCTTAACTAAATTAATTGCATGATTTATATGATATATGCTTACAAACTGCATATTGTATTTGAATAAAACTTCTAACACAAAAATAGCATATTGAAAGTTCTGCAGTTGGAGAATTGCCATCGGCTGTTGTATTTGAATAATTAATGCGGTTGGTCTTTGCAAGATTTGGGTGCTGTTTTGGGATGTTTTAACAGTCACGTTCTCTTACGAGAGGTTCTCTCGTATTGCGTAAGCTAGCTTACGCTACGCTACGTGTAAGTGGCCACTGGAGGCCGCTAGAGGTAGTATATTCTTAGTGAGGTAATTCATGTGACTGGGTTGGAGGCTGTGCACCCAGGAACCTGTATAACTAATAATTCGATTTGCACTTGCCTGACTTCTCTCATCTCCGAAGATCAGGGACATGTAAGTTGACTCTTAAACTGTGTAAATTGTGAAATCCTGGTGCTCTTCACTTTACAATATTAAGTAGTTCATGTATTTCCATTTTCATGCGTTTTTGGTGAAGTTTGCTTTGTCTTATTTCCACACATGTGTGTGCTGTTTTAGTTCAGAGACCTTCAAGCTAGCGGCTAATTCCGAAAAGCAGCAAATCTAAAATTTGCACCCTTGGTGAGCGGAGTAAGGTGTGTATCATTTGGCTCTATGTATAATAGGACTTCAAGGATGTAAAATGTCAAATTTTGACTGTTATTGGAAATTATTTTTGTTGTTTATCTTGTACCATGAAAGTGTATAAGTTAAAGGAGACAATTATTGTCTTTAGTTGTTATTTAAATAACTTCAAAGGTCACTTGATTTGTATTGTACATTTACAAAATGCATCTTGATTTACTGTAAATGAGGTGAGGATTTTGTTTGCGAATTTGTGTCTAAAGGTTCATTAATCAGCTATTTGTGTTTACTTATAGTTTTCACGGTGCTCACGCTGATTTGGATGAATAAAAATTACTGCACCCGTTTGAGACTCTCTGCCATTTATTAAGGAGCCAAGGGCTGCAACACTACGGGAAAGATTCATCTTTGCTGAGAAGTTGAAGCCAAAAAATTATTCCATAATTTTGTAATCATTGTCAACGCAGTCTCTTCTGAGGCAGACCATGAGCGGGCTAACTAGCGGCTCATTGGTTCGCTCAGAGAGAATGCACGAACCTATGGGAGAGCGGCGCTGAGTCCGCGGCCAATGAGCGGACGGCGCTCGCTCACTGCGTCACAGCCCGCCAAAAGGGGCGTGGCTACAGTGTATAAAGGTAGCTCTCCCAGGCTAGTTCGTCGATTCTTTTTCATTCAGCGAGCTACACGCATCCGCTGTCCTGGGAAGAAGCCGCCGTCGTCGAGAAGGCACCTTCTAGCGAGCTCCGGAGTCTGAGGAAGCCGGCCGTCTGCCACCTTCAGCCGCCCAGCAAGCTAGCGCCATCCGACGTGTATCCTTTTATTCCATTTCACAAAAGAGCCGAGCGTCTTTTTAAAGATGCCTCGAATTTCCTGCGGCTCATGCCGCTCTCCACTCGAGGAAGGAGACCGCCACCCCATCTGCGTTCTCTGTCTCGGAGTGGAACACGCAGAGCTCGCCCTCGCCAACGGAGGATGCGACCACTGCGAGGACCTGCCTCTGTCCTCCCTGTGGGCTCGACTGCAGGCGGTCAAAACCGCTCCCGCGCCGCCTCTCACTTCGCCGCGGAAGAAGAAACGCCGCTCCCAGAGGCCACCGGAGTCCCCTGCGGATCCATGTGGGCCGCCGCCCACCGACCGCTCTCCCTCTCCGCCCCAGCCGGACATTCAGTTGCCGCCGAGTGGCCGCTCTGTCGCCTCCGACGACACCGCGGATGAGAAAGACTCCTGTTCGCTGCACGCTTCTGACAGCGAGGATTGGTCGTCGATCGGCTCATCGACGAGAGAGTCTGCGGGAACCCGCGCCGGCATCGAGGAGGAACTAACGCGCCTCCTTTCGCAGGCCGTCAACCGCCTGGGTCTCGAGTGGTCTCCTCCCCCCGAGCAACCACCGAACCGCATGGATGGGAAGTTCCTGCACCGGCGCCCAGCCCCCGCCTGCAGCCGGGCTGCACCATTCCTGCCCGAGCTTCACAATGAGCTCACGAAGTCCTGGAATGCCCCACTCTCGGCTCGTAACCGCTCCGATGTGTCCGCTTCGCTGCGCTCAGTGGACGGAGCCGCCGAGAAGGGTTACGCTGCCGTGCCGCCCGTCGAGGACTCGGTCGCCGCTCATCTTTGCCCGCCCTCTGCTAGATGGCGTTCTTCCCCTACGCTTCCTTCAAAAGCGTGCAGAGCGACCTCTAACTTTCATGCCCGCGCCTATGCCGCCGCCGGACAGGCCGCTTCAGCGCTGCATTCAATGTCCGTCCTCCAGGTGCTCCAGAGCGACATCTTGTGCGAAATGGCGAACAGCGGTAGGAACCCGCCCATCCTCTCGGATCTGAGAAGCGCTACGGACCTTTCCCTTTGCGCCACTAAAGCCGCCGCACAAGCCCTGGGGTAGGGGTGCACGATATATCGAATCAATATCGTTATCGCGATATCACGTTGCTCGATATACATATCGAAAGTCTCGCGATATTTATGCAATATTTTGTTTATGATGCGTCCGTCACCGTTTCATTTCCACCGATTCATTTCCTGATTCTCCTTCTCCATAAACAACATGAAATCAAGGAGAGGTTTAACTTTTCATGCTACAGATTTCCCACAGTGGTCAGAAAGAACAGGGGAGACACTTTGTTTTTCTCAAGAGTCGCTATTCGCTTCAAAGCTAATCGCCGTCACTCTCTCACGTCTCACTTGCTCTACTACCACACAGTCCGCCCACACACACACTTGCCCCGGCCGGCTCGACGCGCACAAGCATAAACATCAGGCCATCTGGCAACTTCATGCGTTTTCACTGATCGGATATCTGATTTATCAAAATACGATCTTTAATTCCTGCGCTATATGCAGATTCAATGGAGTGCGCGTAAGTTACGTCACCGAAAGCAAATGGGCTGCATACGATCATCAGGTAAAATAAGATCATTCATTTACTTTTAATGAAGATAACTGTGTAAAAGCGTCTGTGACTTACTTGCACTTTGATTTGCCATAGTTTGCGCGTTGGCATAATGAAGAGATGCTCAGCTGATCTGCGTGCTGCAGTCGCGCGCGTCGTCAAATCTGGCCATAACATGACATTAAGCCTGTAACGTTCTCATTTTTAGCGTTTTTGGAAGGAGTCAATTTTACATATGTGGTTTATTCAATAACGAGATACATTTACATTTGTCCAGTTTCGTCTGGAATGCGGCCCTGACCACCTCCTGAAGTGGTTTGAGCGATTAGATTCAAATACCGGTAACGTTACGTCACATATGCGTTCCACAGGGCATTTACAACTGGTCTATTCACGATCAGATAGCTATCCGGTCAAAGAAAACGCATATAGTGGCGTTTATGTTGCATATAGTGTGTTCTATGGACTTGCTTATTTATTGTCTTTTACACTGACTGTAGTGTAGGCCTACACAACTAACATAGTAAAACATGTCCTGTTCTGTAGACATGGTTATTATTTATATATTCATGCTGTACCAGTCCAATATGACTGTCAGTTGAAATAAACCTTATGTTGTAAGAAAACTTGTTTTATTTATTAATCTTTTTTATGTGTTTTCCTATAACTTTTGTAGTTTTACATCCATTTAAAAATATCGAAATTAATATCGATATCGCAATATTCATTATCGATATCGCAATATCACATTTTTGTCAATATCGTGCACCCCTACCCTGGGGAGATGCATGGCCGCCCTCTGTGTCGCTGAGAGACACTTATGGCTCACGCTTACCGACATGGGAGATTCAGAACGCGCCGTGTTCCTCAACGCGCCTATCTCTCCGACCGGGCTCTTCGGATCTGCCGTCACGGGCATCGTTGACCGCTTCTCCGAGGTACAGAAAGCGACTCAGGCCACGAACTTGTTCCTGCCCCGTCGCTCTAGCTCTTCGGCAGGCCGCTCTCATGAGCCACCTGCCAGAACCCCACAGCAGCGCCCGCCTCAGCAAGCTCAGCAGCCCCAGCGTAGACAGGGCGGCCGCCCTCGCTCTCGCTCTGACAGCCGCCGCAGACAGCCTCCTCCACGGGGGCCTCGACCCAAGATCGCGCTGAAGCCCGATCAACAGAAGTCTGCCTAGCACAGCTGAGAAAAAGGCGGCTCTCTCCCGCTGCGGCCGGACCGCCGTCAAAGCTTCGCCCACTGTTAGTCTCCGTCTCACCGCCGATTACAGTAGAGTTCACCGCCACAATCAAGCCGGTTTCCCTGCCCGCTTGCGAGCGACTAAAAGCCGTTTTCACGGCTACCCAGAGAGTTCACAAAAAGAGCATAAAAGCCTCAAGTGTAAAAAATGTGCCCACAAGCATGTGCTCACGTATACACACAAGCACCATATGCCCCGGGTCTCACACAGAGCCCATTCTCACGGAGCGAGCACTATCCGCTCCAGTAGCAGAGAACATAAGCACGCCCACGAGCCCGTGCGCGTGTCCCCCCTCTGCCCACTCTGTCACACGGCCCATAAACTCCTCTCTGAGTGTAAGTCCCGTTGCCATCCACATTATAAGCGCGCCCACACCCAGTGTCCAGCCCGCTATGTGCAGCAATCAGGGCGAAATCGCCATTCAACCGCTAGCCGCATGCTGCGAAGCGTGGGAAGCCATCCCCGGCATCTCCCCGTGGGTTTTAAGCATAATAAAGAATGGCTATCGATTACAGTTTCGTCGCCGCCCGCCACGCTCGCGCGTGCGGCTCGAATCCACTGTCAGCCCGGCTGCTATGAACACGCTTCGCTTAGAAATAGCCAAGCTACTGCAGAAGGGCGCTATAGAGAGAGTCCCGCCATCTATGACCGAGTCGGGGTTTTACGGCCGTTATTTTCTGGTTCCCAAGAAAGACGGCGGACTCAGGCCGATCTTAGATCTCAGGGCTTTGAACAAAGCGCTCATGAAGAGACCGTTCAAAATGCTCACAGTCAAGAAACTCCTCGCGCACGTCCGCCAGGGGGACTGGTTCATCTCTCTAGACCTGAAAGACGCCTATTTTCAGATCCAGATAAACCCTCATCACAGGCCATTCCTACGTTTCGCCTTCGAGGGTCAAGTTTACCAATATGCCATTCTTCCGTTCGGCCTATCCTTAGCACCCCGTACGTTCACAAAGTGCATGGATACAGCGCTCGCTCCCCTGCGAAGTCAGGGGCTGCGCATTCTGAATTATCTGGACGACTGGCTGATTCTAGCAGATTCCCAGACGGAGCTTCTGTCGCACCGCGCAGTTCTCCTCAACCATCTGGAAGCGCTGGGACTCTCTGTCAACTGGACAAAGAGCTCTCTCCAGCCCAGTCAAACTATTTCATTCCTTGGAATAGATTTGAACTCTCTCACAATGACGGCTCGCTTATCCACACAGCGTGCGCGCCGTGTTCAGCGCCTAGCCGCCTCCTTTCAGATGGGTACCCACACATCCCTGAAATCTTTTCAGAGGATGCTGGGTTATATGGCTTTAGCCTCCGCTGTGCTTCAGCCTCCGCTGGTTCTTCTGCACATGCGCCCCCTTCAACTCTGGTTAAAGAGCCGCGTATCCCACCGCGAGTGGACGACGGGCCGCCAGATGATCAAGATTACTCAGACATGTATCACTGCACTGCAGCCATGGTCAGTAATCGAGTGGTTTCAGAGGGGCGTTACCATGGGTACTTTTTCTCGCCGGAAAGTCATCTCGACAACACGGGTTGGGGTGCGGTTTGCGAGGGCTCACCGGCCGCCGGCCAGTGGTCGAGCCACGAGAGTTCCCTTCACATAAACTGTCTGGAAATGATCGCGGTCGAGAACGCGCTGCTGTTTTTCCTCCCGCGCATACACGGTCACCACGTCCTGATTCGCTCCGACAATATGGCCATGGTATCATACATCAACCGTCAGGGCGGCGTCAGATCCAAGAATCTCTTTCACCTGACACGCCGCATCCTTTTGTGGTCCCAGAGTCACCTGCTCTCGCTCAGAGCGACGCACGTACCGGGCCATCTGAACGACGGTCCAGACATGCTGTCCAGGAACCTGGTCTCCCCCGGAGAATGGTCCCTGCACACTCATACAGTCCAAACGCTGTGGCGCCTATTCGGCAGAGCAGAGATAGATCTTTTCGCGTCAGAAGAGAACGCTCACTGCCCAATATTCTTCTCAAAGAGCGAGGACGCGCTAGCCCAGGATTGGCCCCGCCGCCCGCTCTATGCTTTTCCCCCGATTTCTCTGCTACCGCAGGTCATTCAGAGAATCAGGGACTCACGCCACTCGGTGCTCCTCATAGCCCCGCGCTGGGAGAATCAGATTTGGTTCCCGGAGCATACGCGGCTGTCACAGACAGCCCCGTGGCCCATTCCAATCAGAGCAGATCTCCTCACTCAAGCCCGCGGCTCGATCTGGCATCCCCATCCACAGCGCTGGGCGCTTCATGCATGGGTGACCAACGACTACGCGTCGAATTGCCAGAAGGGGTTCTGAACACGATCAAACACGCCAGAGGGGATTCTACCAGAAAGCTCTATGCTGCAAAATGGTCTGTGTTCTCCAAATGGTGCACCGACAAAAATTTGGACCCACGGACGTGCGAGGTTTCGTCTTTGCTCGTGTTCCTTCAGGAGAAACGCGTTCGTTGAACCCCGGCGCGCCCAGTCTCTGGGCAAAGACGAGCTAATCATCCGCTTCCTCAGGGGAGCCAGAAGGATGAACCCCCCTCGCCCCCCTACGGTGCCGGTCTGGGATCTTTCTATAGTTCTAGAAGCTCTGAAAGCCCCGCCGTTTGAACCACTCGAGTCCGTGGAGCTAAAATACCTCCCGCTAAAAACCGTTATTCTGACGGCACTCGCCTCAGTAAAACGAGTGGGGGACAGCCTGGAGTTTGGACCGAATGACTCCATAGTCATTCTGAAACCTAGACACGGTTATGTTCCGAAAGCGATTGGTACCCCTTTCAGGGCGCAAGTGATCTCTCTATCGGCGCTGCCTGCATCCGATAGCGAACGTTATGCTGATCGCCTCTGCCCGGTTCGGGCTCTCAGCGCGTACACTACACGCGTTGCCGCGTTAAGACGCTCAGAGCAGTTGTTTGTGTCGTTCGGTGGCCGCACCAAGGGATTAGCCGCCTCGAAACAGACTCTGTCCAGGTGGATAGTAGACGCGATTGCCTCTGCTTATGCCGCTAAAGACCTGCCTTGCCCTCTGGGCATCAGGGCTCATTCCACCAGAGGCATGGCCTCATCGTGGGCATGGTCCTGCGGAATTTCCATTCACGACATTTGTGTGGCTGCGGGATGGGCCTCCCCCTCCACTTTTGTCAGATTTTATAATTTGGAAGTTCCAGCCTTACAGGCTAAAATTCTGGCGGTCTAGTACTATACAGCTCTCCTATAGAAAGCCGCACTATCGGGAGTTCCATCACAACCGGCTCACCCCTTGTGTTCCCCCATGTGCTTATGCATTATACGTCACGGCCCGCTACGCCGGCCGCCTTAGGGCGTTTTGCACTAGATGATAACGGCCGCTATGCTGGCCGCCTTATTATCTTCATCCACTTAAAGATTCCCCCGGTGTTTCCCCCCCCTTGGGATGCTTAGTGGTTACTTAGCGCGCACGGCGTTGACCAGGTGTTCCCGTAGCGTAAGCTAGCTTACGCAATACGAGAGAACCTCTCGTAAGAGAACGAATCGGTTACCTAACGTAACCTCGGTTCTCTCTAGATGAGGGAACGAGTATTGCGTTCCCGGCCGTGCTTGCGCCACCAGCGTTTCGCTTCATGCTGACAGAATCGACGAACTAGCCTGGGAGAGCTACCTTTATACACTGTAGCCACGCCCCTTTTGGCGGGCTGTGGCGCAGTGAGCGAGCGCCGTCCGCTCATTGGCCGCGGACTCACCGCCGCTCTCCCATAGGTTCGTGCATTCTCTCTGAGCGAACCAATGAGCCGCTAGCTAGCCCGCTCATGGTCTGCCTCAGAAGAGACTGCGTTGACAATGATTACAAAATTATGGAATAATTTTTTGGCTTCAACTTCTCAGCAAAGATGAATCTTTCCCGTAGCGTAAGCTAGCTTACGCAATACTCGTTCCCTCATCTAGAGAGAACCGAGGTTACGTTAGGTAACCGATTCGTTCTGTGTAATAATGCGTTGAATAATGAACTGAATAATTTCTGAAGATAATATCAGGGTTCCCCAAACTCAGTCCTGGAGGGCCGCTGTCCTGCAGAGTTTAGCTCCAACCCTGATCAAACACACCAACCTTTGAGTTTCTACTGATCCTGAAGACCTTGATTAGCTTGGATTAGCTCAGGTGTGTTTGATCAGGGTTGGAGCTAAACTTTGCAGGACAGTCTTTTTAGGAACCCTTATAATGTGTTATGCATTCCTACCGTTGTAGAGATTACTGTTCCTGTGAGATAAGATAAGTTCTGCTGAAACAGCTTAATTTGAGAGAAAAAATGATTTATTTTCTACCTTTTTCTTTGGTTAGATTAGGTATTATTTTGTTATGTTTTGTTCTTTCCTTTGGGGATGCATTTGTTCTTTTCTCATTTATTGTTTGTTTGTTCACTTATGTATTTTGTGTACATAGCACCCCTTATTGTTTTTATTATTATTATTATTATTATTATTATTGACTGGATTCAGTGGCTTTGGCTTGTTGTAAATACATTCCAGTTGATTTTTTCCCTTGAAGAAAAGCCATGTTATGTCAGCAGTATGTCATTATACAAATGTTGCGGTATCTCCCCTAGACCTTTCAAGGTGCGTTACAACAATAAAAATGTGTTTGAAATGTTTTAAATTTAAATATTCACTGTTTAAATACTCAACCATGCTGAATTTCAGCCCATAAAAATGCAAGCCCTAAAAATCCAATGCATTAAAATGCAAGCATGGTTAAGGCAATGTATATTTTTATCAAGTAGAGCAATTCACAGGCTTTTTTGTTTCAAAAACATTGGCATTATTTTACTCCTCTGGCCAACGAAGGAACAGTGTGTGATTCGGGCAGCATTATAAATCAGATTGGATCGGAACATTAAGAGTATTCATCCATTTCCATCTGTTTGGAAGTCTGAGAAATCATGCCGGTATGAAGACGAGTTGTTGAGGATCAGTGCCGATAGACGAATCCGGCGAAACTACCGGAAGTAAAGCGGACGCCATTACTGAGCTGTTGCTGGGTAGCGTTGCGCCATTGCCGCCTATTGTATTAGTTGCAACTTGCGTCCATTTGCGATTTACTAACCTTACAACTTTTATAATGTCGACTGGGAAAACATGCTCCGTTATAAATTGTTTCAATAGCGGCAGTAAAATTTTAATTTGGAAGCGAAAACATTGTGAGTTACATAAAATACCCCGGGTCGACTGCCCCTGTCTGGTGCCATATGGTTTACACAGATTTCCTGGGCGAGTACAAGACGCGGACATTCGCCAGAAGTGGGTGAAAAATATCAACAGGCAGGAATGGGTTCCTAATAACAACAGCAGGGTAAGTTTTGGTTGCATTTCCCTTTCAAATTGTGACAATGTTAATGGTAACCCACCTACTGTAATGTTACCTAGCTGGTCAATGTCAGCTTGCTAGCTAGCTGTCTGTTAGCTGCTAACTTTAACTTGGCTCAGATGTTGTTGGAAAGCTAGTATGTCTTGTCAGTGACACAAAACAATGTTATTTGTCTAAAATATGGACAGTACTGTTAGATAGTAGCCTATTGTTGTGTACTGTTGTATTCAATATGTGTTACTGTCGAACTAGGCATGCCTGCTTATTATTTTTATTTGTCATATTTATGTTTAAGGTGTATGGCATATATCAGCTTTGTGTGTGTGTGTGTGTGTGTGTGTGAGAGAGAGAGAGAGAGAGAGAGAGAGAGAGAGAGAGAGAGAGAGAGAGTGGATGTGTGTGTGAGAGAGAGAAGTCTCTCTCTCTCTCTCTCTCTGTGTGTGTGCACGTGTGTGTGTGTGTGTGAGAGAGAGTGTGTGTGAGAGAGAGAGAGAGAGAGAGAGAGAGAAGTCAGAGTGTGTGTGTGTGTGTGTGTGTGTGTGTGTACAAAGACCTGGAATTCTCCTTTGGGGATCCTTAAAGTATCTTATCTATCTAACGTTATCTATCTATGTTATTTACTATTCAAGGTCTGTGGGATACACTTCCCTGATGGCAGACCAACCAAAGAGCACCCATACCCAGTATTGCACATGGGATATGAAACTCATGCTGTAAGTTGATTTCTTTACCATATTCATATCTGAGGGCAAGGGACATTTGTGAGATGGGGGTATTGTAGCTGTATCTTGCAGGGAAGAGGGTGGGAATACTATGGTGTTATCCAGCTATGCTGGTAAGAACTATTGCTTCATGACATTGTATTTTTGTTTTTCTTTTATTCAGTGATAATGTTTTGCAGAATAGATCCTAATTAAAATTATTTTCTTATTACCTATCTGTGTCCATTTTCAATAGTACAGTGTATTATATGTTACATAATAATGTGAACAATTTTTTGTTGTTTTCCTGTCCTTCCACAGGGACCTCTGCCATCTGGTCGAGCCCCCCCCAAAAGAAGATGTCTTGAGCCCCTTACAGTCAACACCATGCAAGTCACCAGAATTGCTGCTGAACCTGCTGATGTAGAGGTTGATGTGGATAATCTGGAGAACATTCCTCTACAGAAGTGTGATGTTGGCGTCCAGTGGCCAGAGATTTCAGAGCACAACTATTGTTCAAGCAAGTCAACAAAAGACAGTGCAACACAAACAGATCCTGCACCATCAATCTCAGCCTATGACTTTGATGACAAAGACAGTAGGTTTTTCACAGGCATACATATCGCCAGTTTTTGGCAGCTTTTGTTTGCCCTCACAAATTTTTTACCTCAGCCAATGACCATTAAGTTGGCATTGCATCACCAATTGTTGCTTGTTTTGATGAGACTCCGCCTTGGTTTGATGTTCACAGATCTAGGAAAGCGTTTTGGAATAAGTAGGACTACAGCTTGTGAGATCTTTGCAGTCTGGAGACCTATACTCGCAAGGTTTATGAAAGAAAAAATAATAGCTTGGTTGCCTAGAGATACTCTGGAGAGAATAAGGCCTCAGAGCTTCAGCGTACATTACCCCAAAGCAACATGCATTATAGACTGTACCGAGATATTTGTACAAAGGCCAAAGAACTTAAGGAAACGAGCCCAAACATACAGCAATTACAAGCACCACAACACTTACAAAGTCCTATATTGCATAGCTCCCAATGGCTTTGTGATGTTTGTGTCCAAATTGTTTGGTGGGAGGGCTAGTGATACTTTTATCACACGGAACAGTGGTCTTATTAGTCACCTGCTTCCTGGTGATCAAGTTTTGGCAGACCGTGGATTCACCATCACAGATGTTTTGCCTCCTGGAGTGACATTGGCCATACCAGCGTTTACACGTGGCTGTAAAGAACTTCCGGAGCATGAAGTTACACAGACACGTCGCTTGGCAAATGTTAGAATTCACGTAGAGCGTGCTATTAGACGATTAAAAGGTTTTAAAATGTTGAGTAATATTATCCCAGGTAGAATACAACATGTCGATGACATTGTAACTATATGTGCGGGGCTTTGTAACTTGCAACCTCAGTTGATTCGAGAGGAAACTGAGGGAGAAGCATCTGAAATAGATGAAGATGAGCATATTGACGAGCAAGAAGAAGGTGATGAATACTCATGGGACATGGCAGAGGACATTGAGGAAACCCACCTGTTTTAGTATTGTGTACTGTAAAGTTACATATGTGATGTGAAGAGCTGCCTGCCACGCACAGAAAGAGAGATAGACACATGGACTCCAATCTAATACAATTCTATTTTAATCGTAATCTTTCATTGCTCTGAAAATCTTTAATTTCATGTTCATTTCATTTTATTGTGGTCTCATTTAACAACTTAACTAGAGACGGTTTTAATCACATACAATATGTACTATGAATAAATGTATGTACTATGAAAAAAAAAATCTTACCAACATGTGTTGACTTTAGTTTGATTCAGTTCACTATTATTAAAATCAAGAGCTACATCACTCGAGTCCACGCACTGTCATTACACCATGCGCAATTCTGGTAGCTATTGCTGGTAACAGATGCTCGAAGTAAACCTTCTTCAGGTGGGAGATGTGTTTTTCAGTCCACTCTTGGTTGTATGGTACATCAAGGATAATCTGTTCATTTGCGGTCCATACCAGGAACTTGCATTTTTTTTTGTTTGCACAATACATTGCTACCTGAATCTGGTAGTAGTAGCCTAATCCTGACGCAGTTTCCCTAAGGCCATACATTCCGTTTTCATATTTCACATCATATGTGTTTGATTGAATCATTTTTTGCAGACTGCCATCATGTGCCTCAAGTTTCTTTGGTGTAGGACACTTAATCTCAAGGATGGTATCTTTGTCAACTACTCCATCTAGACTGGCACCAAGCCAGTTTTCCTTCTCATGTACAATAAGACCTGTGGTCTCAACTGTCTGCCCTGTGATCCCTTCAAACCATTTTCTAGCTAAAGGCTCCGCTGATTGACCATATCTCGTAGCTGTGCATCCAGCAAACACAGCATTTAATTTTCTTTCTACCCAGTTACTTGGGTCTGTTTTTTTGGGTACGCCTGATGCCTCACTGCTGGTAATCCTAACTTTTCTTTGGTGCAGCCAAAATTGACAATCCTGGCCCTTTGATTTTGTTTCAATTTTCTCTCTCTCATCTTTCCCACATTTTACATATTTTTCATACACTACATTGCATAGGTTACATTTATGTTCAGCACACTGTTCATGCCATCTGGGTAGCTCATTGGTTGCTTTTTTCTGTGGGTGTGCAGTCAGCACCTGATGCAAAATGCTCCCAGGTATCATGGCTAAGCCAGCCAACTCAGGTGATGAGAAGTGTTGTATGACCTGTGCATCAGTCTCAAATGCCATGGAGATAGCTTTCATACTTGTACCCTCATGGTCTGGCCCTTGAATGTTCTCAATCGTGTCTGGTACCACATTCGTCCAAGTTGATTGGTTCCAGGCACACAGTTGGTCCGTGCAGGCTGTACCGGTGAAGCCTCGAGACACAGCATCTTTCAGCTTGTAAAGCAGACCTGCCGTATGACTGCAACACTTCCCTCTGTTAGCCATGCAATCACAGTGCACATCTACAACTTTCCCATTCTTCCAGAGTTATTTGTACTGTATGAGTGTTGTTAATGGTCTGTGAAAATCGGACAGGTCCTTTTAGAACTATGTGTTTATCATCTGGTAGGGTGTGCATTATTTTACCAACCCATCCGGAGCTCAGATAATTTTGACCCTCTATCAGTGACCTGTAGTTGGCACTTTGTTGATCATCGGATGCCAAGCGAAGGAGAAAATACTCTTGAATACCTTTAAAACAACAGAAGGGGCGCATTGGGGCAGTAATGTTAGTAATATTACTGTTATGTCTGGTGGGGGGGGGGGGGGGGGTGATTGTCAAAACATTTGGTAACATGTTTACATTGTGCAATGAGTCGTAGAATACAGTTTTTATTATTGCTTGACAAAGATTTTAAGATTTTAATTCCATACTTGTGATTCGATTCTGATTTTGATTCAATATTGACTAATTTGGATACATATTTTAAATTTTATTTAAAAAAAAAAAATCTCACCTAATGCTGTAAACATAGGGCCCAATCTGCTGTTATTATTAAATGTTTAAAATAACAAATTAAATATAATGCAGTTTTTGTTATAATAACAATTATTTAATGATATATAATAAATATGTAATATAGTGCTCAGCAAAATCTCTCTAGCTATTTTTTCTATTAAATTAACATGCTATGGTCATTAAATGGCTTTTCTGATCTAAATATAACGTTATGTGACAATTGTTCTCCTGCTGTTATATTGACCTTTCCATGGTTAAAAACACTAATTGGACGATATTATGTATACTTTCTAGTGTGTGAAAATGAGATAAATAATGGACACAAATGAAAAACATGAATTCGTTTATTTGATGTTATTCATTTATTTATTGTTGCCAAATGGACAGATCTTTTTATAGTTTCCTCGTTAGCAAACGTTAGCCTAGCTAGCTTGCCAAGCTATTTTCATAAATAATCTGTAAGATCGTTTGTACCTTCATCTGTGACTGGAGGCCACTGTCTAACATCATCAACCCAACAAGTCATTCTGCCTGGCTGTAGCCGTCATCGAGGGTGCGTTATCAGGGAGGTTTGTTGACACACCGGTAACAGCTCAGTAATGGCGTCGCCACAAGATGGCGGCCTACACAAGAACGCTCGTCGGATTCGTCTATAGCTGTCGTGTCGATGAGGCCGGCACTTAAAGATAAACGGTCCCTTCGGGATAAACAGAGAAACTAATATTAGCGTAGACGCCTTCCTTCTTTTGATGTACCAAGTACAGATTTACGGGACGTGTCCCCGGTTCCGGCTGATCTAATCTATGCAACTTAATTTTGAATAAAGGAAGTCTATAGTGTTTTATATGTATGCTAGGCCAGAGAAATGTGTTTTTAGTCTAGATTTAAACTCACAGAGTGTGTCTGCTTCCCGGACAATGTTAGGGAGATTGTTCCAGAGTGTCCCAGCCAACATGTATATGTGGGCCCCACATGGTTTATGCTTGGGCTACGTGGGTACCAAGTGGGTATGGTCCCAAAATGGGCATCTTTTCTGGGGCCCACTTGGGTCAGCTACGTCGGTCCCACATGGGCAAAAATAGGTGGGCTCCCTATGTGGGTCCTAGTTGGGTCACTAATGGGAAATGAGGGCATGGGCTCAAAATGGGGAACACAAATGGGGCCCATTTGGGTTTATCAAATGGGTGAGACATTGGGAAATACAACCAGTCCCATATAGGCTGCCTGCGTGGGCCCAAGGTAGTACCCACATAGATAATCTCTATATGGGTTATGAATGGGTAAAATATATGGGGTCCACTTTCATAACCCATATGGGTCAGACATGGGCAAACACAATCAGTCCTATATAGGCTGCCTACATGAGCCCAATGTGGCACCCACGTTGGTAATCTCTATATGGGTTTTGAATGGGGCAATACATATGGGGCCCACATGGCCAAACTATATCGGACAGACATGTGCAAACACAATCAATCCCATATAAGCAACCTATATAGGCCCAAGATAGTTCCCTCATAGGTAATCTCTATATGGGTTCTGAATGGGAAAAACATATGGGGCCCACTTTGATAAACCGCATGGGTCAGACATGGGCAAACACAAACAGTCCCATTTAGGCTGCCTACATGGGCCCAAGGTAGGTCCCTCATAGGTAATCTCTATATGGGTTCTGAATGGGAAAAACATATGGGGCCCACTTTGATAAACCGCATGGGTCAGACATGGGCAAACACAAACAGTCCCATATAGGCTGCCTACATGGGCCCAAGGTAGTTCCCTCATAGGTAATCTCTATATGGGTTCTGAATGTGAAAAATATATGGGGCCCATTTTGATAAACCGCATGGGTCAGATATGGGCAAACACAAACAGTCCCATATAGGCTGCCTACATGGGCCCAAGGTAGTTCCCTCATAGGTAATCTCTATATGGGTTCTGAATGTGAAAAATATATGGGGCCCATTTTGATAAACCGCATGGGTCAGATATGGGCAAACACAAGCAGTCCCATATAGGCTGCCTACATGGGCCCAAGGTAGTTCCCTCATAGGTAATCTCTATATGGGTTCTGAATGTGAAAAATATATTGGGCCCATTTTGATAAACCGCATGGGTCAGATATGGGCAAACACAAGCAGTCCCATATAGGCTGCCTACATGGGCCCAAGGTAGTTCCCTCATAAGTAATCTCTATATGGGTTCTGAATGTGAAAAATATATGGGGCCCATTTTGATAAACCGCATGGGTCAGATATGGGCAAACACAAACAGTCCCATATAGGCTGCCTACATGGGCCCAAGGTAGTTCCCTCATAGGTAATCTCTATATGGGTTCTGAATGTGAAAAATATATGGGGCCCATTTTGATAAACCGCATGGGTCAGATATGGGCAAACACAAACAGTCCCATATAGGCTGCCTACATGGGCCCAAGGTAGTTCCCTCATAGGTAATCTCTATATGGGTTCTGAATGTGAAAAATATATGGGGCCCATTTTGATAAACCGCATGGGTCAGATATGGGCAAACACAAGCAGTCCCATATAGGCTGCCTACATGGGCCCAAGGTAGTTCCCTCATAGGTAATCTCTATATGGGTTCTGAATGTGAAAAATATATGGGGCCCATTTTGATAAACCGCATGGGTCAGATATGGGCAAACACAAACAGTCCCATATAGGCTGCCTACATGGGCCCAAGGTAGTTCCCTCATAGGTAATCTCTATATGGGTTCTGAATGTGAAAAATATATGGGGCCCATTTTGATAAACCGCATGGGTCAGATATGGGCAAACACAAACAGTCCCATATAGGCTGCCTACATGGGCTCAAGGTAGTTCCCTCATAAGTAATCTCTATATGGGTTCTGAATGGGAAAAACATATGGGGCCCACTTTGATAAACTGCATGGGTCAGACATGGGCAAACACAAACAGTCCCATGTAGGATGCCTACATGGGCCCAAGGTAGTTCCCTCATAAGTAATCTCTATATGGGTTCTGAATGTGAAAAATATATGGGGCCCATTTTGATAAACCGCATGGGTCAGATATGGGCAAACACAAGCAGTCCCATATAGGCTGCCTACATGGGCCCAAGGTAGTTCCCTCATAGGTAATCTCTATATGGGTTCTGAATGTGAAAAATATATGGGGCCCATTTTGATAAACCGCATGGGTCAGATATGGGCAAACACAAACAGTCCCATATAGGCTGCCTACATGGGCTCAAGGTAGTTCCCTCATAAGTAATCTCTATATGGGTTCTGAATGGGAAAAACATATGGGGCCCATTTTGATAAACCGCATGGGTCAGATATGGGCAAACACAAGCAGTCCCATATAGGCTGCCTACATGGGCCCAAGGTAGTTCCCTCATAGGTAATCTCTATATGGGTTCTGAATGTGAAAAATATATGGGGCCCATTTTGATAAACCGCATGGGTCAGACATGGGCAAACACAAACAGTCCCATATAGGCTGCCTACATGGGCCCAAAGTAGTTTCCACATAAGTAATCTCTATATGGATCCTTAATGCGGAAATATATACAAGTATAATTGTGAATATAATGAACTATGGAATAAATATAAATTGTGCATCTGTAAATGACTTCATAAACTATACACTTGTAAAAAAAACATATCTGTGCAATCATTAAAACATTTATATACAGTATATTTATGATTTACAGTATAATCCTTGTTAAAATACCACTAACAGTTGACCATATTTAGTAGTGAGGAAATTTCACAAATTGACTTATTCCACAGGTGGAAACCTATCATGGTACCACGCTTGAATTCACTGAGCTCCTGAAAGCAACCTATGTTTTTACACATGTTTGTAGAAGCACCTGCATACCTAGGTGCTTGATTTTATACAACTGTGGCAATGGAAGTGATTGAAACACCCCCATTCAATAACTTGGATGGGTGTCCCAATACTGTTGGCAATAGGATACAGTATAGGCCACGGCTCTTCAAATCCAGTCCTGGAGTGTTGGCGTTCAGCAGATATTAGTTCCAACCCTAATCATTGACACTAAATATTCAAAGTGTCAACTTTTAGTGGTTTAATTTTGTTACTGCAAACTTCTGAGTTACTGCAATATGCTTATCTCAATATAGTTATACAAATGGTTCAAAATATCCCGAAAATGGTCACTGTACAATATGAAGAACGGGTTACAGAAGCTACTTATCTATCAAAATATTCTAATGACTTGAGATGGCTAGAATAAATCAAACCCCTAGCATCAGCCAAATGCCCTTATTCAATGGAAATACTCAAGAGTTTTCTAGTCAGTCAGTTAGTGACAATGTAATTCTAGAGATTTTAAATATTGGGGTTAGGGTTAGGGTTTTGATTATTGAAAGAGACTCAGTCCAGATGATGAAATAGCCCAAGTAAAAAAAGTTAGAATGCAACATGCAGTGTTTGAAGGGAAAATCAAAACTAAATTCAAAAATCACATTTGCAGCGGGAGTACAGAATGCACACAATGTACACAAATGTAACATTTTAATGCTAAACAGTTGAATTTTTTTATCTGTTTGTTGAATCATGTCATGTCTTCGAGAAATCCATAACATTTAAATTATTATTATTTCTAATTATTAATTTCTAATTATTATTGTAGCATTTTATGATATTTTGATCAAAACACCACTTCAAAAATATAAATTTGTGTTGAAATAGAATCAGTATATTATTAACAATAATAAAAATAATGGATATAATTTCAATCTCAACAAGTGCAGAATAAACTTTTTTTGCTTTGTGCGATTTTGTTTGGGGTTTACAATTTTGTGTGTGTGCCTAAAGTTTAGCTTGCAGGATTACATTTTTATTCACACACTTTCATAAAAACAGTAATCAAATAATATAGCCTACAAATTAAATTAAACACGGATTTCTTAAAAAAAAAAAAAAAAATCATTACCACTTTTTTTTTTTTTTTTTTTTAATCATTACCACTGAAACAATAGAGTGCCGAAGTGATGACGTCACTTTGTAGGACAACCCGGAAGCTAGCGGCGCATGGGTTCCCTCGGTAAAAAAGCAATGCATTTTCCCCATAGACTTTTGGAAAATCGCAAAAAATAAGATCTGTGTTTAACAGAGGGTTGTGACCCTTACACGTTTTGTCTAGCAAGATAATCTTTACAAGTTAATCCAAAATTTATATACATTTTGAAGCATATATAAAGATTTTAAAAAACACAATCAGACACAATAAAGTTTAAAAAAAAAAAAACACAAGCAGGTTATAATTGTGTGTTCTATGTCATAGATCAAAACGTGAAAATATTTAGAGGCTCTGTTCACCAGAGACCTTATTTCAGGAGATTTAGCAAAAACCCATTCAAAAACCCATAGGCTTTAGAGCGAGGGAACTGTAATGCTAAAATGCAAATTCACTTCTGCGTTTTGGCCTCGAGTGACGTCGTAACTTCGGTTGTTTCACCTTCTTTGATCATGATTGGTTAATTTGACTGTCATCTATGTAACTGGCCAATGACAACTGTGCGCGCCTTTTTACTGGTCAAGTTTGAAAAATCAAATAGGCTACATTTGAGTTGATGACGACGGCTGCTCAGCAAGATTACTCGGTCTTTCAATTATTATTTTGAACTAATTTGCGATGTGACATGTAAACGAAGGAGAACAGAAGATGTGAACACACAGAAGACGCTCAGACTGGATGCGTGAGATCCTGCAATATTGGCGATCAGGTAAGAGAACATTTTTCTGTCTCCACTATCATTTTAGAAAAACTGAGATATAAACGTTTAGGTATTACATTCAAATAAGTGGATGAGAGTGTTAATATAGTTCATGGTTGAATATATAATGCAGATAAACAAAACGTGTGTGAATGGAGTTCATTAACTACCCAGAAATGTTCTGTGTAACTTAACGTTAACGTCACATACGAGAGTTTTATAAACGGATAACGGACGTAGGCTACTAAGTTACCTGCAGTTGTGTTTGTAACGTTAACATAACGGGTAGCTAACCATATTTATCTGAAAGCAACGTTAGTGCTTCTGAGTAAGTGTATTTGATTGTGCTAAAGTGGAACTATTGCAAATATACTTTTGGTACACTTAATAGTGGTAACGTTATTACTTTATTTTTTGGTCGTAATATATAGCAGCTATATAATGTTCATTGTGTAATAAAGTCTTCTTAGGTGATGTGTCAATAATTATGTTAATGAAATTGAAGTATAATTAGTATGAAATGTGTTCTAATATATTCTGGTAGAAGTTATTTATTTATTTACTAGGGAAGTAGAATCCAAATGAGTAAAGTGACTGATATATTGTGAAAAGCGCTATATAAATATGATTTGACTGATAAAACGGTCATTTACTCTCTGAAACACTGGAATCTACAGAAGAGTTGAGAAATGTTATTGGTCTAACGTTAAATCTCTTATATTTTAGTAGATGCCCGTTTCTAAATATTTTGACATCACCTCTTAAAAAACTGACAACTGCTAATCTTAAGAGATTTGTTTGTTTTTTTATTATTTTTATATATCAAGCACTGGAAGAAGATTTTTGGGGGGAGAGCAGGCACCCAACAGAGAGACAAATCCACAACGGCATGATTATCAACTTCATTATGTAAGTCAGTTTTAACCATTGCTTCTAAACCTTACATTGGGATTAATACATTATGTTGTCAAAAGTATTATACTCATCATCAAAAGTCATATCCTCTACCAGTGACAAATCTGAGTAACTAATTATCTTTATGTCTTTCTTCCTCTAAAGTGACAAAGAAAGGAGAACATGTCACCATCATGAGCCCTTTATTTAGTTCACGGAAGAACATCAAGGGAAAGACCCTCAGACGTGTCATAACAGGATAAATGTGGCTACAGGTAAAATTGTTTGATGGTTTGTTTGATTTTGGAGTAGCAATTTCTTTTTTTAAAGCTTTAATTGATGTGATGTGACATGTGTCCCCAAACTCAGAATTTGTGCTCTTCATTTCATCCATTCAAGTGCACACACACACACACACACAGCAGTGAGTATTAAACACACACAGTGGAGACCGGGGAGCTATTGGGCTATTTTTCATGTTCTCTGAATGTTTTATAATGGCAAATGTTGGTATGATATTGATACGTTTTGTTTTAATATTGTTAAGGACGCATCACCCCACCCCATCCCAGATTGACCAAGGATCCAGATGAGTACTGGCAATTTGGTGGAGGATTGCTCTTTATCTACTACTACATTGTACTGCCTTCCGGGTATGGATTTATTAACCTTTTTGAGGTGTTTTGATTGTACTTAATTTAATACATTTTTCAAAATTAGATTTTACATAATTTAATTAGAGTATTTAGCCCATGATTTACTCACCCTCAAGCCATCCTTTGGTGTATATTAGCCCACGTTCTCTTTCAGACAAATACAATCAGAGTTTTATTAATAAACACCCTGAACGCTTCCAAGTTTCGTAATGGCAGTGGATTGCAACTATTAGTTTAAAAAAGCTCAAAAAGTGCAATCCATCCATCATAAACTCCA